GGATAATTAGGGATAACTGGCAAGCTCGGATAACGAAGTCCAGGATGGAGACGAAGATATTAGGCATTCTCTGTACTCATTACCGGCATTACGCGCTGGTCCTCACGGCATTTGGGGATCACGCAACCGACAAACAATTAATCTGGGTGGTTGGCGGGTGCTCTGACGGGGTTTGCACCTTTTCTTTTTTATTAATCTTATCAAACATTTGTCGTCCTTATCTGTCCTTCTTTTTGGGGTTTGTTACTCCCAATTGTGACCTCTCTAATCTTAGGCACTTATAGTATGGCCTTATTGTGTTGCAAGTGTGGTAAAACTTTTATAAAACTAAGAACGTGGGTGCTTGGCGGGTGCTCTGGTGTGGTTTGCTTCTTGTTTCCTATCAAACAACTATCGTCCTTAAATCCCCTTCTTCTTTTTTATGTTTGTTACTCTCTTGTAACACCTCTAATCTTCTGGCGCTCATATGACCTTATGCAGTTGCGAGCGCCGTAAAACCTCTACTAAAAACTAAGAACAATTAATGGAAGAAAAATGCACGTGTCGCAACCCTGCAGCTTAGAACGTTCCAGGATAACGGACACTGTTACGTCAGGTCTGTTTGTTGAGTTTTGACTTGATTTGGTGCTGTTATTGAAAGGCCTATTGCTAATGGTGGTTGGCGGGTGCTCTGGTGTGTTTGCTCCTTCTATCCAACATCCTTCGTCCTTGTTTGGGGGTGGCGTCGTGGTAAAGCTACCGGACTCGTAATTCGTAATCGTAGGATTGCGGGTTCGGAGATTCGAGCCTCTGCTCGGTTCGACGTTGTGTCCTTGGGAAAGGCACTTCACACGAAATTCCCATTTGGCTCGGTCCTTTCGGAGATAGACGTTAAACTCGGAGGTCCCCGCCTCTTAAATAACCAAATTGTGTTGATAGGGGCGTTAAACCATTTCACCATTTTATTGTCGTCCTTCTCTTTTCTCCTCTGTGTGTGTGTGTGTGTTTGTTTGCTTGTTTGTTTGTTTTGGTTACTCTATTGTAACACTTCTAATCTTC